GGGAGAAAGGGAGAAAGAAAGGGAGAAAGGGAGAAAGAAAGAAAAGTTTAAAAAAATCTATGACTTCTTTTCTAGCATTATCATAGTTCCTGATTTTGGAAACTTATTCATTCATTAAACAAGCATTTACAGAATGCCAGGTATGTTCTAATGATATCTGAGAAGTTAACCACAATCTAGTAGAAAGAGAAATTATTTCTCCACTGTAATACATAAGTCTCTTTGGACACAAACCACTGCATTCCATTCCCTAATTTACACTAATGAGGAATAATTCTTGAGTGAGCACCATACAGACCCTGCTGCTGCATTGCTGAGGGAGACTTGTTCATGGGAGAAGCAACCCTGAGGAAGATGCGCTGCCGCCAGGAGATTCGGCGAGGAGTGACAGGGGTTCCTCCAACATTCAGGGAATCATTGCTGCAAGTAGACGAGGTCCTTTTTCTCCCCTCTCCATCACTGCAGAAAGCAAATACGGAAATATATAACTTGTAAGGATCACTGCATAACCTGGTTCTTTGCAACAATATGGTAGCACAAGCCATTCAAAATCCCGCCACGGGCAAGCACAGCCACAGGCAGCATGGAGCAATGCATCAGGCGGCACACTGGGCACCCAGGCCACCACATCTCCGGGAAAACACACTCCAGGCCACAGCCCAGCCATGAGAAGCTCTCCTGTTTCTACTCATTCCATAGTAGCCCACCTTTTAAGTCCTAATGTAAGGAATGCAAAGGTTGCTTAAGTAATGAACTCATGCTTTGCTAAAAATTTCAAATAGTATGCTCTAAGCAATGAAAGTATTCCATAAAAGGTTCATAAAGAACTTTTCTTATAGTTCTTATAGAATAGGCTAATAAAAATAGCTTCTAATTGGCTATGAGTGTTAAGATCCGCCTCCAAATAGATAGCTACCAAGAGCTGGATCATGGCAGAAAGTAATCTGAATTAAGGCAAAACAGTCAACGTTGGGATTGCTGTTAGGTAATATGTTAAGAAAAAACTGTGGTCAAATAAGGTTGAATAGGTTAAATTAAAAAATATTAAACATATTCTTTATAGTAGGACTTCATAGGGACTGTAATCTTCTAGCAAGCACTGCAACTCTCCAAGAGGGAAACGGTGTGCAAAAATTCCCTAACTTATTCAACCCCAGCTTTTTGGGAAGGTTGGGGGTGTCATACCTTTCTATATAAGTCTTCCAGAAACATGGGGAGAGGCTGGTCTGCTCTAAGAATCTCGTTTCTGGGAAAGGTCGCTCTAAGTTATGCTAGGCCTATCTGCAATAAAAGATCATTATGACTCAAATTTCTTTTTGAGACCAATTATGTCAGTAGCTGGAATACTATGCAATAATTGTTGCTGTCAGTGGTGGGAATACTTCACTTTTCTTGAGTTTCAAGGCCTCTGGGCTTCCCTGAGAATGAGGAAGATGCAATGTTTATAGGTGTGATACCAATAAGTGAAAGTGCAAAAATTTTGATGAGCTCAGGAAGTGTCAGCTCTTAAATCAGAAAAGAAACTCAGGCTGAAAAACCACACCCATCCAGGTTCTCAGCTGAGCTCTGTGGTGCTGGGGTCATCAGAGGTCAGGAGACATTCAGATCTGCTTGTCATAGTTTTATTTACTTCATGTACTCACACATCAGGTAATTCCATTATTTCTAATCTTGATCTATCATCCTGGAAATATTACTTATGAATTAGCTAAATGAAGGTTAATACTTTCAAGCTGCTACACAGACAGCAGTTGTCATGATGTACTATGATACTTCAGAAAGTGGCAGATATATATATATATCTCAATATAGTCAAACCTCCTTTGTTGTGTATCTGGATAAAATTATAACCCTAATATATGCCCATGGTTCAAAACGCCCTGAAATATTGAATACATTTGTTCATCTTTACTTCCACTTTGGAAAGTATTAATTCAAGTATTACCCTTTTAGAAACTGTGATTCAGATGTCTATATATAATAGTCATATCCTGATAAATACTTTCATTTTATTGTTTTTAAAATATATTTTTATTTATTTCAGAGAGGAAGGGAGAGGGAGAGAGAGCTAGAAACATGTTATAAAACAATGATGAGAGAGAATCATTGATCAGCTGCCTCCTGCATGCCATACATTGGGGGATCAAGCCCATAACCTGGGCATGTGCCCTGACCAGGAATCGAACCATGATCTCCTGGTTCACAGGTCAACCACTGAGCCACACCTACCAGGCAACACTTTCATTTTAGTAACATTATCTCATCGGCAGTTATTTAATAATGCTAGTTCATGGGTGTATTTCTAACTCCTAGTTAGTAACTAGCAAATAACAGTAATAACTCAATAAATATCCATTGAATAAATACTGTAAAACAATATGAAACATTAACTCAGAAGGTTAGTAAAATGGACAAAAAATAATATTGGCTGGGCTAACATGACAGGAATAAATAAAAGATGGATCTTCTTAAAATCTTTAGTTGGTAGTCATGACTTTTAAGTTTTTCTAGCAAAAAGTTCTGTTTCCCAAAAGTACAGACTAAGCTGTTGATGGCACTAGTAGCTATTGACAATGAAAACAGTGTTAGTAAACAACATAAGGCATCTTTTTTCCAAGTAAGTGTTGTTCCTGTCCTATATAAGAGCATCTAATTTGTAATTTAAGCCTAGAAAGCTAACTAAATTATGTAAAAGCACCTATTTCAATTCCTCACGGGTGAGCTTACCTTAACCTCTTGGTAGCTCTAATAAAGAATACTAGAGTAAACCAAATCAAAGTATTCTTAAACTTTTATATTTTAATGCTGGAATTAAACCATCTTTTGAAAATCTCCTGATTCACTGTTAATGGCATATCAAGTGTTTAGAAAGTACTACAAATAAGACTGGGAAGTACCTATATCAGTTTTACTACTATAAAATACAGACTTTGGGGAGGAATGTTATAAAACAAGTACATAAAGTAGCCTTACATTAACCTTACATATTTGAAAATTTCATAACGTCTACAATTTTAAATCCTGCAATCCAAATGAAATGCCAATGACCCATTGTCCTCCCATGTCTGGAATTCAACAGCGAGTAATAAGCCAAAAATTAGCAGTCAAAATATAAGATAATAATATACTGAAAGGAAGGACTTACATAACAGACCATTTGACCTTTATCTGGTACTAAAAAACGACATCCTGAAAAAGCAGCTTGGTGGCTGAGATAAGGCATAAGCTGCAAGAAGATATGGATTCAGAAGCTAGGGTCCAGATAAGTGTTTCAACAGTCAGTGCATGGAGGCAACTTACAGTAGTTTAATCTCGGATGTACATGCAGTCAGCAATCTGACATTCTTAAATTGGTAATTTCAAGAATCAAAACCATGTGAAAGATAACGCATGAAAATTCTTATATTCCACCTTGAAAACTACACTGGGGACTGTTGAACCTCAGAGGGAAGGCAGGGGAGGGTGGGTGGGAAGAGATCAACCAATAAACTTGTATGCATATATGCATAACCCCTGGATAAGGACAATGGGTTAGTGAGGGCCTGGGGTGGGGAGGATGGAGTGGGCTAGAAGAGGTTAATGGGGGAAAAAGGAGGACCTATGTAATACTTTCAACAATAAAGATTTTTTTAAAAAAAAGGTGTCTGGAGACCAATAGGAAGCGAGCCAGTGATGTGTTTCAAAGGGAAGCCTTGGATTTCATGGTAGCCATCACAAGCTCCCAAGATTTGATGCCCCTCTTAAAAGAGTAGTAGCAGTGAAATAAAGCACTAACAAATTTGAAAAAAAAAATACTACAATGGGATGAGGTGAAAAATGGGGGGGAGGTACTATTATTATATCTTTTAATATATAAAAGATTGGTTGTTTGAGTTGTTTTTGTACTTGTAACATTAGTGTTCACTTTGACTTCTCCTTTAATTAAATTTAGCAGGTAGCCAAGCACGATGTCCACTTTTTGAGTGAAAATAAAAACAAAACAACTTGTAGTAATAATAAAACTAATACAAAAAGCACACACTATGTGCCAGGCATTGTTCTAAGCATTTTACAGGTATGAACTCATTTCATCCTCACAGTACCTATGGGGAAGGTGTTATTACTATTTCCATTTTAGTGAGAAGCCTGAGGTAGAAAGAAGCTAAGTAACTTGCCCACAGTCTTGTGGATAATAAGTGGAGGAGCCAGAATTCAAACTCAGGCAGTCTGAAATCCAGAAATTTATGTGGTTTATCTTGCCAATGTAAACATTTTTGCATCAGTTCAGAAAAGGTCTATAAAATCTCAAAACCAAAGCTGTCAGAACTCCAAGGATCGCCTGTATTTCTGGTGAAAAATGTCAGTCTCTAATTAGTAGTAAGTCTTTTGCTCAGTATTCCTCTTTTCATTTATTTGAATGGAAAAATGTCATTTATTTCAGCAGGTAAATAACTTCAGAGTAGTATTGGGTATTCATTTATGTAAATGTCTCACTTCCTTTTCTTTGTTGTTATAATCACTGCATTCCAAAATGTAAAGACTTTTTTATTTTTAATTAGGAGGGACAAATCAAAAACACATTAATATGGTGGAATAGACACATATTATCATATTAATTATCTTTACATTTTAAAAATAATGAAACAAATTAAAAACATGCCCTTATTTTTCATATAATCTTCTTCTGTATTTTGGAATACCAACATGTGCATTATAAAACTGTTCCCAAGAAACATATTCTGGAAATTTATTCTGTGCCAGCATTACCTCTATTTAAATGTATTAAATTAAAAATAAATAACTAGGAAGGAAATACATTGTGGAGAACTCCCACCTATTTTTGTATGGGTGTATTCTATATATTCTTCCTATTGCTAGTCTCTACAATCCATGAACAAAATGAGGGCCTATAAGGGGAGGAAATAAGTATAGCACAATGAGGGCTGGTAGGCATGTCCGAGCCCTTCTGGATGGAGCCTTGATCAAAAGCAATGGATATGATATGAAGCACCCCTCCCACAGAACTTCAAGATAACTTTTTAGTAACAAATCCTTAACCAAGCAATTAGAGCCTTCACCACATCAGCTATTAAATTAACATGATGGTTCTTATGTTAATACAGAATTGTCGATGCTCACTTGCCAGATTTAACAACAATTAATTGACTGGATATTGGACAGAACAAAAGCATTTTAGTGACCACTCACAGGGACTCAACTTTAAGAAGGATGCCATCATGTATTATTTCCCATCAGGGCAACATGGATATACTTTTCATAAAGGCAAACTCTCAGGCCAGGATCTGTTGTACAAAGGTGTTGTTCTGCTGAGCAGCAAACTGCCCCTCATCCTTCAACTCTGAGCACCCATCTAAAACTACTAGCTTCATAAAGTCCAAATAAATGACTACACACTGATTAAATCTATAGCTAAATCACAATGTATTACAACTCAGGATAGAAACAAAATTTGATTAATGTAATACTATTTAACAGAAATCTAAAAAAGCTTTCTCTTTGTAAATGTCCCAAGAAAGGTTGCGTGGAACATGATGAAACTTCAGGTTTTTTGCCCAGAATGCATAGCACAATTCAAGTCACAATCGCATCAAGTGCACTAATAGTCTATCTAAGTCCTGGCTTTCAATTGGGTAAACCATCCTTCATCACAGAAAATCTTAACTAATTAAAAAAAGAAATTGAGATTGAACTATTCTAGTGGAAATCAACAGACAGCATCTGAGCTATGAGTCAAAAGTGATAGATTAATCAGTGGAACAATGTGCAAAACAAAAAAGAATGAGGAAAACAAAAAGTTTTATTTCCTAAACTCTACACTGAATACAAATTTTATTTTAAAAGCAAGTTTTTTACACTGAAATTGAAAGTATCTCTGGGTAGCTTATTTACTTACATCCTTTTAACCTAAGATTAAGAAAATGATAGCAAGCAAGACATTAATTTTTCCCACAGCTTAATTTAAACATATGTAAAATAAGGAAATTATAGGCCAAATGATATATAAGGTAATAAACAGATCAAATTCTATGCTGTTGTAAAACCTAAAAGGGCAAAAAGTAAAACTAACATTTCCATTGGGCTTTTAAAAGCAGATAAGAGTTATATGTAAATGGTCTTATAGCCAACCATAAAAAAAGTAAAGGTCAATTACAAGTATCCAAAAAGTTACTTTTCATCTTTCCCATGTGGCCAAAATAATTTTTGAGATAATATTTTTCTCCTTGTACATCTCATTCTACTCCAGTATTTAATATCATGTTTTTACTCCAACTTGAAAGAAACCTAAATGTCAGTGGTCCCCAGTAGGAAGATGGGCATGTCTGTCTTTCATTGAGCTGGGGATATAAGCAAAGCATGGACATTAGAACAAGACAAAGAGTACCCGTTTCCAGTTAACTTGTTCAGCAGTGACCCTGGATGCTTACCACGGAAGCATGCTGGTCAAGAGGAAGAAGTGTCATCAGCGATGTGGTCAGATTTCCACATTAAGGAAGTAGGTGTTTTCCCGTGTCCAGACCAGTGGGAGGTCTGGAGGCCTCAGCAGTGTCTCAAAGTACCCAATGTGACAGAAATTAAGATGGGCAGAAATCCTAATATTTAAAAATCCAGGGGCCGTCACGACCGAAACAACCTGACAGAAAACCGAACAGCAGGCTGCGTGGGGTGACCAGGCCAGCAAGGGGGTTAGTGAGGGTCAACTAAACGACTGAAAAGCAGGCTGTGTGGGGTGACCAGGCCGACAGGGAGGGTTACTGAGGGACGACCAAACAACTGAACAGCAGGCTGCGTGGGGCAACCAGGCCAG